AAAATATCAGCTCTTATACACAATGGGATCCGGAGCATGTATATCTGCCACTGTACTGCAAGCATGTTCAAAGAGTCATCCCCAGACTATTTCTGCTAAGATTCTGCACTTTATTTGTTGAAATGAGTAGCACAATGAATTGGGGTGGTTCCGCGTAAACATTCATGATGGCAGACCCTAGTCACACTCTTTAATCCATTTCCAGTGCAGATGCAATTCGAATCAGCAAAGAACAGTGGGAATGCATAATTGTATAACTGGGCAGATCAATTCTGAAACAACTTGATGATTGAACCAGTTCAATTTGTGAATCTGAATGGGGTCTTACTCTACAGAGTATTTTCCTGTAGTAGAAAGTATAGATAATGCGGCACCTGTAAGACCAGTAGGACATGTACAGATGAACCCATCCTGAGTGTCTGTGCAGGTCCCACCATGCTGACAGGGGGCGCTGCTGCAAGCTACAACTTCCTCCTGACAAAGTCTGCCCTGGTACCCCGCCGGACAGGTGCACTGGAACCTGCAATATAATATATATAAGCTCAAACATTATATGATTAGGAAACACCTGGCTTACGACACCAACGCCATAACCACAAGACCAAAAGATACGTCGAAGGTTAGACATCCAGGTAATACGATACGCCAAAAAGCAGTTACTCAAGCAACTGGATATGATTTTGGAATCGGTCACAATTTTCAAAATCATATCCAGTTGCTTGACTGCTTTTTGGCACAAGACCAAAAGGTCTGTTACAAACCCCACTGTTACAAAGCAACTGTTTATACAGTTGTATTACAAATTGTGCGTGGAAAATATTTCAGTCTTTAAATCAGTCCTATGTACAAATGTATTACACCTTCTTGAACATAATATTCAATACCCTGTAGTTCTTGTTGCTATTTGAAACAGAAAAAAATAACAATGCATGGTACACATGTACATACAATGTCATTGCTTAAGCGTGTCTGTATATGTATTGTAATGTTAATGTGTATTAATTTTGTATTATTTTGTTTTGTACAAAATTGTAAAAATCAGTGTAATTCAGCTTGGTTAACTTGTAAAACTGGCTGCAAGGCTGATTTTATTAATAAAACTTGAAACTTGAAACATGACATCAGCAAAAATGTGACCAAAATATTCTGATGATCACTTGAACTTGATATTAGTGCTTGTGTTGTAAATCATATATTATTAAGTACACAACTAGTCTCAAAACATGACTATGTTACATGTAGCTTAATGAGACATGACAAGTTTGATTTTTCATTTGCTATTTACTAGATCCTCACATGTTTCCAGCTGCACTGCACCGGCCGCCATGTTTGCAGGGGTGACTTGTACAGGGGTCATATGTTTGGCAGGAAGGCCCACTAAAGCCAGGATAGCAGGCACAACTGCAACCAACAAAACACACACAAACAGTTGGAAGGCATGATGCTCTGTAAGATTAGATAAAGGGGATGGTGGGTGTGATGTCTGGAAATATACAAAATTTAATGTTGAAACATTTTTAGAGTAAGGAAAATGGTCATTTGTCTTGGTCTTATTGACTCTTGGAGCCTACTATTGTCTGTACATTTTGTCAACAACTACCAACGACAGACTGGAAAAAAAAAAAAACTACCAACGACAGTCCATATTGGTGGGAGAGACAATGCTGACATTATGTACTGAAGTGCACCAGTCCAGGCCAGACAAGAGTAGCTAGGGACAAAATTTCCACATATTTTACTATAGACTGTCCCACTGATCCAAAGTGACCAAGCCTGTGCCATTTTACACTGTGCAAAGACTGCCATGCTGTCAGTTGGAGAAGTGGTCAGCAGGCAAGTCCCTTAATGCTTACCAGGGCTCGAAATTCATTTTTGGGAATAGGTGCACTGGTGCACGCAACCTAAAATGTTAGGTGCACAAAAACTATTTTGGTGTACCATATAGAACAAAACCTAATTATCAATCTTACTGCTTCTAAGCTTGAATCTGGAATGTGACACAAGTACTACAACAAAGATGCCAAGAATATCCTGTATACATTTCATATGTACAAAAATACCTACAAACTACAAAACAGAAAAAATTGAGTGCACAGCTCCAATTTTGGGTGCACTACAGTGCACCCAGTATTTCCAGCCCTGCTTACATTTATAGGGAAAAAACAGGACCAAGAAAAGGTGGTAGTTATGTCCAGATGGTTCACACAGGTGGTTGCTTGGACAAGTCTGACTGACGTGTACATTATTATTAATGTCTTTGCATGGTGCTGTTATTACATATACATATAGATGTACATGTATCATTTAGCTTCTTTGTACCTTTGACATAGCTACTGAGTGTTCCCTACCTGTAGTTATTGTACAGGTTAATGCAGACACCACCTGGCCTGCACAGCTGAGCGTCACTATCACACTCATTTATATCAGTTTCACACAGAACACCTGTAACACCTGCTGAACAGCTGCAGATAAAACCTCCTTCCACCTCCTGGCAGGTGCCACCTGACAAAAGGAGCATGCATACAGCTTAGAATATCAATTCTAGGATTTGAGACTTGTTTTGGTTCTTCTTTGTGCTGATAGTCTAGGATTTGAATTACACATGCACATGTACATACTAAGTATTTGTGTTCAGAAACCAAAATTCAGCACTGGTGCTGCAAAGGTTTTTTATATTGAATAAAATATTCTCTCTCAATGTGACAAGGCGACACCTGACTATATTGGTATACCTAGCCTTTGCACAGGTGCAACTAAGTCTAAACACTGTTTAATTACAGCCATCTACTGATGATGCCCCTACTGTACTTGTTGACTGTGAGTTCCATTCTACAACAGTTCTAGGACAAAAGACTTTTTGAACACCTCAATCCTTGATTTATAACTCTGGCATAGAAGGCATGACAGGGCTCAAAATACTGGGTGCAGGCAACATTGGAGCTGTATTTCTGATGTCTGTCTGCACCTAACCTTCACTGGTCCATGTACTGGGTTTTATATATAACAAAAAAAGTTATATGTTGACTTTTATTTTCTAAATAGACTTTAAGTACTTCCCGTAAAAAAACAGGTTGGGACAGTTGATCTTCAGGTAGGTATGTCATCTTGGTAGTCCTTCGTTGCCGAACGTTTTTGAGCCCTGCATGACTATTTTTTGTTCTTTTATGAGCTGGTATTAGGTACTTAGTAGTTGTTACATCCACCAGTTTATTAGTCATTTTGTACAACATGCAGTGAAATAATTCTGACTGATAATGTCCTACCATTATAACATGGATGTGGCTGACAGTGCCCCTGGTCTGTGATGTTGACTGTGCCACAGTTCTTGCCTGTGTACAGTGGAGGGCAGGTGCAGGTGTAGAATGCGACGTGTGAGTCAGTCCTGCTTATGTGCCTGACACGTCCCTCCAAACAGACAAGGTTGGCTCAAACATGCATCTTCTGTTTGGGGGAAAAATTGATTATTAGCGTGAGACCCAGGAACATGATCAGTTGTAGCATTATGATCTTCTGAACTTTCTCAATAACAATAGCAACAGTAACAAACTTGACAGACCGTTTATTCAAATAAGGCCACACCAATTTAACTTGTTGTTTCTCAGATTTTTTCAGAAAAAATCAGGAGTGACAGGGCAAAATAAAAAAAAATAAAAAAAAACAGGCCAAGGCACCCCATGATAGCCGTAAATGTTACAATATGAGCCATGAAGTGAACATACAAGACTGGTTTGTAATTAAAACAATAGATTTTGAACTTTTAATGAAACAAAATTGCATTGTTACATTGAAAAACTTAAGAACTAGGAAGAAAAGGACTCTTTTCCACCATTGGGGCCAAAATATGTCTTTCATTGAGCATTCTGCAGTTGATTTAGAACAAAAAAAAAGTTGTTTTTTTTCCAATCAGAAAAAAATGGACAGGACGATCTGAGAAGCAACAAATTAAATTGTTTTGGCCTAAAACAAAACCATCTATAGACGAAGGTGGATTTGAGTACAAGTTCTATGTTCAAATTTTCCAACTCCAGAGCTGGGCATTATCTGGAAACAGTGTGTCAGAATAGAAAACATGCTCTGTGGCAATAATGTATGGCCAGTGTATAACTACACAAGCATGTACATGTAGGAAAGGACAAACTGACCACATCATGCATTTGTTTCTGCTGGCAAACACATGCCTTCAGGAACAAAAAGACCAGCAACACAAACAAGCACTGTATGACATTCAAAATCAAACCTGCACTCAATAAAAAAAAACAATCAGCCTGCCAGATACATGTATACAGGAAAACAATCAGAACTCAGAAACATGTTATTGTTAACAAAAAATTCTGAAACCAGGTACACACTCTTATTACTATTAGAAAGCAAAAACGCCACAACACGTGCATCAGATTGCTAAAAAAAAGCAAAATGGTGTCATTCGTAAAGTGGGTAATAAAATTTAAAAAAAAAGTGTTATAGATAGCCACATGTGACTGCATATAATATAGTACGTAGTGCACATGGTTTACATGGCTTTTGCACATGTTTTAACAGTGTTACACAGCTTTTACAAGAGAAATAAATAAGTCAAAACTGTGTGTAAAACACGCTGGATGGAAAGTTAATTGAGATTCGTACTGTTGCTATATGCAACACAATGCTACATTTCCACCTGAGTGAAGTGGGGTCGTGTGGCACAGTCGGTAGCGCGTTCGGCTCACACCCAAGAGGTCGCAGGTTTGAATCCTACCCATGTCACCGATCTTGTGCCCTTGGGAAAGGCACTTTACATGACTGTCCTCACTTCACTCAGGTGGAAATGAGTACCTATAGCTAGCTTCAGTTAGGGACGTCTCTCGGATAGGACGTTAAATGGAGGTCCTGTGTTTGGGGACAGCGACACCCCACGCACGTCAAAGAACCCACCACACTTATCGAAAACAGTAGGGGACCTTCCCAGTGCGAGTGTTTCAAACCTTACAGTCTGGTCTTACACAGCTTGTACAGATACATTTGTACGTACATGTACAAAATTGGTGTGTTACGCCTAAAGGCGGTTTACTAGTTATGCAAAACAAACAAACAAACAAACAATCATGCAGCAAAGGCATTGCTGAGAATGTGAACCAGGAGACCCGGGACATGTCTGGACATGCGCCCGACGTTGTGCCCTTGGGAAAGGCACTTACACGACTTTCCTCACTCTACCCAGGTGTGAATGGGTATTGAGGTCACCTTGTGGCGCCGAATGGCAGCCGCATAGACCCTTGTGGCAGTTCCACAAAAATGTGGAACAAATATGTATCATGTGTATTATGTGGTCAAGTGATGGAAGACAGAGAGTGTTGGTCAGCCATTTAAAATTTGTCTCGAGGCCAGGGACACCAGGACTCGACATAAGTCAAGTACATGTATTATGTGTATTATTATGTGTATTATTACCATTTCTGATTGTAAACCCTGCATCAATTCAGCACTATAAGGCTGCGATTGCACGGGTGATGTTTGGCCAATAAACCATTTATTATTATTATTAGAATGCCTCACCTCCCTGACAGGTAGCTGCTGTCTCGTCTGTTCCATCTCCACAGTCATCCTCTCCATTACAGACCCACTCCAGCAGTGTGCATGTCCCGTCTCCACAGGTCATCTGTTGTACAGGCCCCAGGCTGGGGCAGTCTGATCCTGTTCATTTAAAAACCACCAGTACTAGTAGTAGTACTACAAGCAAACTTGCCTAAGGCCTAGGAGTAGGAATGAAAATGTTGTGTTTCCTGTTTCCTTACCGGCCCTAGAAAAAACTGCCAACACTAGCCTTTTTTTGTGGACCCCTGCAAGGGACATAAATTTTTCATGATCAACCTTCTCTTGCTATATGATCTAACACCTGGGTAATAAAACATTGTACAATCAGTTTTTTCAACCTTGACATTGAACTTTCACATTTTAGAGTAAAAAGAAAAAGATAATACCTACTCAATGTTACGAATTCTAATTTTTTCGGGACCCATTTTTTTCAGGACTGAAACAGGAAACATAACATTTTTTTCCTATAGACAAGACAATGATGAAGATTATAAATGCAGTTTGAAGGTTTGAAAAAATGACTGACAAAGAAAATTCTTACAATTAAAATTCTTAAAATAACAATAAATTCCTTTAAAGTTTTGTTCTAGACAAATGAAATCATGTGTTCATGAGTATGAAGGGCACTTGTACATGTAGTTATGTAGAAACATTTACTGTACCTGCTGGACATGGACTGGCCATCAGCACTAGCACCACAGACAGCAGACTGGCTGACAGACCATCCATTATAATGCATTGACTGTAGCTAAGGACTGAAGAAACATCAGAGCTACTTTTCTCAAAGCATTATTTATTTGTGTTAGCACCCAACATGGCTAAAGTTCTGTATTTTATATTCTATTATATATTGTTATATTTCATCAGTGTGGAAGGAGCAGGAGTCCCGCGACTCCAGCTCCTGCCTGTCTTTCATAAAAATAAAATTTAATCTACATCATCAACTAATAGCATAGCATCTACGGCCAGGTAACGGGCCCGCCCCCGTTAGTATCATAACCATTTTTGGGGGGTAAAAAGTTACTTAAACTTTAAACTTACCTTCCTAGAATTCCTCTGGCCATAGCAATAATTTTATCACAAGGCTAACGTTACATGTAGGCGTGTACGTCGACATCTAAAAGCTAATCTAGCATATTTTTCTGGCTCCCGCGATCCCGACACAAACTCATTAAAAACTGCAACATCCGGTGCTTACCGACTCAACTTTGACCCCCGGGTCACCAGGTCACTGTTCCTGTGAATGAGCTCGATATTTCGTATTTCTACTCTCCAAAAAATTTTTCTTAATAAATTTTACCTTTGCCGAGATGTTTTTGTTGGTATGTTTATCTGGTTTAGCATAACTCAAGAAGTTTTGGCTGGATTGTCATGATGAAATTTGGCAGGTGATCGGAAAGTCTTGACCAATCAAAGAGCCGCTACAACAACCATATTTGGTAAGACTTTAAAACTTTGGACAACTGATGTAATTTATCCAAATGAGCTTACTTGCATAATTTATCCAAATGACCTCATTTGCATAATCAATGATACGTCATTCTTACCTGTAAGACTTAAACATGGGTCATATTACGATTAAAGCTAACACACGGGGCAGCTGTTGCAACGTCCCATGAAATATCAATAGAACGTCAATATTAGCCGAGAAATTTGTCGAGAAACTCTTACAGCAAACACCGCAATGCAGGCTCTTCCCCCTCCCTCCTGAAAGAAGTGTGGTATAGTCCATTTCACATAAGGCAGCTGTCGCAGGAGACGGCAGGTGGCGGCTGTAGGGAAGTGTTTTGTACGAAGGCCCACGACGACATGCGTTACACCTTTTCCACAGCCCTGCCACACCGCGCTGCACCGGGGCCCTCCAACCGCTCCTACTATAAGTTAACGGAAGGCCCCTTATAGTGGACGACAGATTGTGTTCTAGATGTCTGCTTCAGTTGTTTTGTGTAAGCA